TTTGATTTATTGGAATTATTTTAGTGGAAATCCATTTTTTAGCCTTTAAAAATTATTTTAAGCTTTTAAAATACCATATCTTTAATTAGAAAATCAGGAGAAATATTCAAAATGTTTCTAAGTGCTTAGAAAAAAATTTAGAACATTTCTATGAAATTTGTTATTTTTGTGATTTTTAAAAATTTTTAATTATTTTAAATATTTAAAAATTGGCTAAAAATGAAGTTTTTGTTTTAAATACCATTTTATTTTTATAAAATTACCCTGATTACAGAGAACTCCAAAAATAAGTTTTCATAATTTTTTGAGTTATATTTTGATCATTAAAAATCATTTTAGTGCCAAAAAGGATATTCTACTTGAAAAATCAATTTGGGCAATCAAATGGACTCAAAGTGCTTTAAATTTTTTTATGGGGAGTTCTATGGATCTTAGAAAATAGTAGAGATAAAAAATCAAGTCATTTTGATGTTTATATTTTTCAAAATTAATTATCTTAGTGATTTAGGGTTTATGAAAATTAGGTGCATTTTAAAAGATTTGGCTCATGAGAGATCTTCCTAAAGGTTCTCTGGTCATAGAAAACCTTCCAAAATTTTCTTGGATTTTTATAAGCAACATGCTAATTATTATGATTAATTTAAGCAAATAATGTACATAAACTTGAAAATAAACATGCTAATTATTATGATTAATTTAAGCAAATAATGTACATAAACTTGAAAAATATGGATATCTGTCTAGAGGTCTCCTCCGACTTTGGAAAAATCAGGGAATGTTCCCCCTTGACAGAGGCTACAACATGCCAAAAATTCAAGTCATGGTGAAATGCCTATATGCATGGAGAATCAAAAAACTCAAGACTGTGTTTAATTAATTAAAAATAAAACATGCATCAAATAGACTTCAAATTATTTTCACATTGTTCTCCTTTGTTCACTGAGCAAGAGGGTATTTTTATTTTATTTTTGTGATTTTTCTACACCAAGATATGAATTTTTAAAGTTAGGGGTCATTCTTTGAATTATTTAAATCCCTATTTATCTATTTAAACGTGCGGTGCTGACTGGATCCTAGGCAGCTCCAAAGCTCCACGCGGCGCACTCCCATTTGATGTCGCACGCGGCGCGCTCCCATTTGATGTCGCTATCCACACAAGCAGCCACACATCCCGTGATTCATGTAAAGAAGCACTGTCAGCTTCATCTTGACTGTTCATCCGATACATACTTGATCGAACGACGCTCCGTCATCATCCTCAATGGCCTAACCCGAGAACCGTCCATCTTTAAGGCTTGATATCTCCCTCATTTCTCAACCAAATTGAATGATTTTTTTTTAAATGCTCGTTTAGACTAGAGGAACATATCTATATGGTTAAGATGCCATGAAATTAAGCCCAAGCAAATGGAGAATTAAAAGAAGGTCGGGATGAGGAGGAGTTCAATACATTTGCTCTGAGAAGGGAAGCTTCAATCATAGATGCTTGGCACGTTCGTTGGAGTCCAAGGAGGCTAGAGATTGAGCCTAATTGAGCCTCTTGTTGTGGTGTAAGGTCTAGTATGAATTCAACCAAGCTCGATTTCAGGTGTTGATCAAAGTCTATACTAGGGGCTCTGTGGAAGGGGGATTTGATGGGGCTTTTTCTTCTTTCAGTGTTGTGAAGGTGTGGGTACAAGTAATTTAATTTTG